TGGGAATGGATTCTTTATAGTTAAGTATTGCCTGCAGATTGAATTCTTTGCTTTATAACCAAGGAAAGCAAAGAATTCAATAATATTGGAAAACTGTTCTTTACAAACTTTAGACTTAATATTGGAAACTTCTGTAAGTTCAAAAGAAAAACTATTTGTAATTTTAACAATAAAAACTTTTTCTATGAAACCTTGAAGTTATCAAAGTCCTTCTAAAACCAGAAAAGACACCAGCATTTGTTCTGCCTGTCACGTGCCAAACCCATTAAGCAGAAAACAGGGATTCCATCTTTATGGGCACTTTATTCAGATGGCTGGCAATCTGAGAAGATGGCAGGTTTGCACCCTAACAAAACTCTTCACATTTTCTTTCCTAATCAGCCTTTTATAACAGAGAATAAACAAGGTATGGTGAGGGGTTTTGAAACTCAGGGAAAATTAGGTGAAAGAAACCGCAGCATTCTTGTCCTGGGCAGTTAGCTGTTCCCAAGGGCAGGTGGTCATCTGTCTCTCCCTGGAACACAAAGGCCTAGATGCCTCTACTTGTTCCCAAGAAGTTGGCTGTCTTTCCCAGGAGCCAGGATGGGCCTTATGTGTAGTTTCTGAAGTAATAACTTTAACATATGCATTACTTATGAGGCTTATAATTGTTTACCTTAAACTAAAATTTTCCAACTCTTGAGTCCCCTATCACTTTAATAGTATAAGAAAGGTTTTTCGGAATAGTGGTTGGGTTGTTTTATTTTTAAAAGTATGTTAATAAGTTGTGTATCTAATTTTGTATGTAAATAAGATTTAAATTTTCTCTTTATAACATCTCAGAAACTGAGTCTCATTGAAGCAATTTGGTGGTCTTTGATTATATTATTTATGTAGTTATTGGTTACATTATTATATATTTTGTATTCTGGATTTACAGTTTTATTAAATACACAAAAAATTTTTAACAAAATATTTGTTAATCATTGAGTATGAGAATCTGTCTTTTTTAAAATATTTAATATTTTATAGCCTAATCAAGTGTAATGGAAATCACTATTTTAAGTCTAGGAGAAAGAGCAGAATATAGGTAAAAGATGAATAAGTTCAATCAAGTTGATAAGGTTTTCGTTATTTTTCATTCATTGGAACTGTTTTGTATACTTAGTTCTGCTTGTTTTAGTTTTATGTTGTGCTTATGGTTTATTTTATATAAACTTTTATAATATTTTAAATTAAAAAAGATTGATGACTTAAGTTTCTGAATTGGATACCTTCATTTGTCTAGCAAAAAAAATGCTTTTTGTTCTTGATGAGAAAAGAAAAAAAAACTTCAGAAATTAGCTTTTTTGGTTCTCTGTTGTCAGTTATCTTAAAATAAACTCCTGCTTCTACATAGTGACATTATGATTCATAGGCAAATAAAATTTTCCAGGCATTTATAGAAATGTCACCAGAGTCCTCTTTACATCTTCTTAAATGAACATGGTCCTGTAACAGGGCGCAACCAGGGCCCCCCCTCCACCAGCCCTCAAATGAAAGATTTGAAATGCGGTCCAGAACTCAGGATATCCAGGAATTATAAAATATAGGGTATCCCCCCCCCCAAGTCTGAACTGTGGGGTGGGACACAAGTAGCAGGGCCATTGAGAGTTATTTTGCATTTCAACAGTTGGCCAGCTTCATACCTGATATCCAAAAACATATTTTATTCAACATACCTATAACAGCTGGGTAGTTTCATAGATATGTTAAGTAGCTGTGGCTATGCTTTGAGTCAGGAAGATGGGAGTGACTTTGACCCATGATGTAACTGGGAGACAACTCTCCCTGGTTACAACGCCCGCCCATGTGAGAGCTTGGAGGTGATTCGCTCCATGGCACAGGACCATGCCTGCCCAGACTAATTATGGTAGCCCAGAAAAACTGGAAAAATACAGAATGTTGGCAGATGTGGCTAATAGTGGGCAGAGTCAGAAATGGGGATGCAGAGGAAGATTCGTGCAGAGGATTTAAACCCAGGCACGGCATAGGCAACCATGTGATGTGGACCAGGTGGTGGCGTGGCTCCCTTAACAACCACCGGGCTTAGGAAGCCGGAAAGCAAGATGTAGGAGCCATGCAGTGCTCTCTCTTAGCAGTTTGAAAGAATGCATGAGAGACAATGTGGGAAGGATAGGGGTGAAAGGACTTGCTGGTGGGCCATGAGAAGGTGCCACGTAGTTTTGGATTAAGAACCAGAGATAATGGCAACATAGCTGATGGTGCTGGGGACTGCAGACTTGCTAGCCAAGCCATGCACTTCTATTTTTCCTGAGATACAGTACCCCAGGCTGGCCTGCCAGAGTAAAGGAAAGAAGGACTGTGTGTGTTTGTGGGAGTTTTAAGGGACTTTGGGATTTTAATGAACACATTAAGTCATTTCTCTAAGTCTATAACTTTTGAATAAATAGTTCCTTTCCTTTTCACCAAACTCTGGCATTGAGAGCCATAATTCCAATTCCTAAGGGTGATGGGCAAGGTGAACCTGTTGAAGAAAGACCCCTGGAGATGGGGGATCCATTTGGTAACAGTATCTTGTCCCCACCATGGGGCCATTCTGTAACAGTCCCACTCACAGAAGATAAGGTATCTTATTCTCTCAAATTAAAAACACTTAAAGCTTCCTACCTCAAATGAGCAGGTCAACATTTTTCTAGGGGCCTCAGCTGCTACCTCACATTGTTCTCAAGTGACTGAGTGTTTTCAGTCCAAAGAGGCCATTCTGCCCCCAAAATGCCCTCTTGAACATGAAATGGAGAGTCCTCTAATACAGGGATCCCGTTAGGAACATGGCTTCAGGCAAAGCTCACTGGAGTTTGGCCTCCTGCCTCCCCCCTACTCCTCCTCTTCCGCAGCTGGCCAGCAAAGGGCGCTCACCTGTCTTCCATGAAACTGGTCCCTGGTGCCAAAGAGGTTGGGGCCTGCTGCCTAGCACACAGGATGGTCCATTGCTCAGGTCTGGTTTGGGCTGCCTTGCAAACTGGTACCACCAAATCCAAAGGATTTTTGTCTGAGTGGCTGCAGGGCCCTCAGTACCAGTGCATTGTTCTTGGGATCTCAAAGGGGCAATTTTTAAAGCTGCATTAGCAGTCATTGTTCTCAATTACAAAGATCTACCAGGCCTAGGTGGTTGGGAGACAGGGAGGGGCCAGGTTCCAGCCTCAGCCCTGCCTGGTGAAAACAAAACTTGCTCTCTGGTATGGAGAACAGGTCAAAGTTACCTTTTGGGAGCCTTTGAAATCCCTTTTCACCAGCTGACTTCCATCCTGCAAAGACTTTTATTATCCTAAACCTCAAATGGGAAGGGAGGGAGGATCTAAAGCCCCTAATACCTCCTAGACACTTGAAAGGGGCTTTAGGGGTGAGATGGCCTTTATCAGGCCATGGAGTACTTTCATTGTGCTTCTGCATCTGGGGGATAGGTACCCAACTGCCCTGTACTTGCATAATAAAGAGTGGTCACCAAGGTGATTCCTTCCACAGCAATCTTGTGTATCTTGCTAACCCTACTTACTCCCCAGAGGTGACTACTTGTAAATGGCAACTCTCTTTCACTTAAAAAAAAAAAAAACCCAAAAAACAAAACCAAGTTCACACCACAAGATTTCCTGTAGTGGACTTGGATTAAAAATAAAATTTACATGTGCAATATGCAGGTCCTCAGGTGGTGGAGTCTCCCAAATATCTAACAGGATTTTCATGTTTTTTTTTTTAAGATTTTATTTATTTATTTTTAGAGAGGGAAGGGAGGGAGAGAGAAACATCAATGTGCAGTTGCTGGGGGCCATGGCCTGCAACCCAGGCATGTGCCCTTACTGGGAATTGAACCTGCGATGCTTTGGTTCACAGCCTGCGCTCAATCCACTGAGCTATGCAAGCCAGGGCGATATTCATGTTTTAATGTGAAATAAGTTGGAGCTGCAGATATTGGTTAAATCCCTGACATGCACTGTAATGCCAACAGCTTTCTAAGTTGATTGGAGGATTATCCTGTACACCAGAAGGTTGTGGGTTCAATTCCTGGTCAGAGCACACACCTAGGTTGTGGGTTGGATCCCCAGTCTGGCATGTTAAGATCCCTGGTCCTGGCACATGTGGGAGGCAACCAATTCACACTTCTCTCTCTCTCTTCTCTTCTCTCTAAAAGCAATGGTAAAATGTCCTCGGTTGAGGATAAAAAATTTTTAAAAAATTATTTTTAAACTTTGGTTGCTGCCCTAACTACAGCACTTGTGTGTGATTACTTTCATCAGTCTGAACCTTCTTCACTTTGCCCCATCATCCTGCCCATGGTGCTAGGTCCTAGAATCTCATGCCAGAACTACAGACTTAAGAGTTGAGCAAGATCTTAAACCTCAGTTAAATTTCCTCATTTTACAGATGTAAAACTGAAATACAGAGAAGCGTCTTGTTCAAGGTCACAAAGTTAATGAAAGGCAGGTCTCTCATCTCCCAATCAGTAAAATATGTTCATGGAAATGCATAGAAGTTAAATTTGTGAAAGTTTAATTCTATTTTTGGCATCCAAGTGGACATTTCTGTGTAAAGGACTCAGTAGTAAAAGGCTCCATATAAACATTTATAATTTTATAAAGTGAATAATAACCAGCCACCACCATGCCGAAAAGCATCTCTTATAAATCTTGATGTTCATATACTGAATTTGATGAAATTAGAAAAAAAGAACTTTGGTTTTCTTATTGGCCGACAAACTAATTACCTAATATTATAAGAATTTATGGGATGCCTATTATGTGAACACCCCTTCCATAAAAGGTTGGGATATTCTCATAATCACTACAGGAGGTGTTTTTTAAATTGTTCTTTCCCACATGTGAGACCATAATGAAGTATTACATTCCAATCCAACTCTATAAAACATTTTCAACACAACTGCAAAATGATCGCCTTCTTAACTCCTGTATGATAATGTACATATTTTGATAATGTATATTTCCCCCCTAGTGTCAAGTCTGCAATCAGATCATAAGGGGGTTGAGAGCAGGCATTATTTTAGATATTCTTTGAATCTCCCATAGTACTTCATTTAGGGTAGTAATCGTCATGCTTTGATTGTTACATGAGGGGAATTTTTTTCTTTTATATTCTGTGATAAAGATGCATCTTTTCTTAGCCTTGTAGAACAGGGGGATCAGTAACATTTCACATCCAGAATACATGGCCACTGTAAAAGGAGCCACAGAAGCTAAGTCTGCCTTGGACTGGGAACGAGAGAGCTCGATAATGGCCAGAGCCAAGAAGCTACTTAGCATCCCACTATTGATAGTGTACACAGTTTTACACACAGGAAGGGGCAACCTAGATATTTTAGCAAAGGAGTACCCAAACAGAAAACCCAAAGCAGGAACTAAGATACCTAACAGAAGCACCTCTAAGTTAACTGTTTTTAGAAACCTTAATCCCATTCTGAACATCAAATAAATCCCTACAGACATTAAAATAAAGCTCAGAGGTCTAATGATTATCTCTAGGATGTTTGCTTTTTCAGGTATTCTACGCTTGACTATTCCAGCCAATATAGGTATAAGTATGAAGAGGAATGGTGACATAATTATGAAAACAGGAATATGGAATGTACCAGATAACCCTAATATCCTACTGTACAGGTAAGAATTGTCTGGTATCATTATAAGGGCCAAGACCATTGATGTGCAAGTAATCAAAATAGCCAAAGTGATATCTCCTTCTGGAAGCAGAGCAAACAGATAGCCCCCACCCCCTCTTGGGCATGTGCAGGTCATTACAAATCTAAATGCCTGTGCCTCAGGCAATGCCAAAATCTGAGTCAAAAGAAATCCACAAAATGGCATAAGAAAAAACTGTGTAACTGCCCCCAGAATAACTGGCAAAGGTCTCTTCCATGCTGTTTGAAACACACGCAATTCAATTTTGCAACCAAATGCACATTTATTTAACAGTATCTTTGGCAGAATAAGTATTAGGATATTTCTATCCATATGCAGTGATGCCTGGAAAAGACTGTCTTGTCTTTGTTTGAGCACTTTGACCCTGACATTCTTTATTTCTTCAATGAGTCTTTTTTGCCTACCTTCAGAATCCCCAGATGAATGGCCTAATTTGTCTTCCCTTCTTCCTCTGTCACTAGCTTTATGATAAAGTTTGTAGCATCTGAGAAGGTCTTGGTCAAGTTCACCACCTAGAGCATTTTAGGATCTTCTAACTGCACAAAGAGGTAGCTGGAGCTGGGCCATTTATCTTTGTAACTTGATCCGACAACAACTGTTTCTTCTGTCTTTGGGAAGAACAGCATTTCAGTCTTCTCTATATTCAGAAAACTAAGAAATTATTTCGCTGGTTCTCCCAGAGTCACACATGACAAAAGCAAGACAATATAAAATTTTCTAATCATTTTGAAAGCTTAAATTAATCATACATGCAAAAGCATTAAAAACAACTAGAGAACATTCCTGATAAAAGTTGAGGCAAGAGTTGTTTTGCTGGATCAAAGTATAGGAGGAAGAACTATGTACTTTCAAACAAATACCAAGATGCCTAGTGAGTGACACAACTTGCCTAACCTGTAGTTATGAAAATGTACAAGCCACAGTATATTACAGCTTCAATTTATCACAGCAGAAACCTAATCTCTTCCTTCATTCCTCTTTTCTGCCAAAAAGAGGCTCCTATTCACCTAAATTGAAAAACTTAGTGTCATCATTTTTTGGTTTTCTTTCTCCTTAAGGAAAAGCTACACTAGAAATAGTCAGGATCTGAAATACCAAAATAGATATTGAGGAGGCCTCCAAGTGGGTGTTACTATTTTACTCACTCATGTCAAAATCAAGTTAAGTATTTACTGGCTGATTGCTGGGGCCCTGAGCCTGGAGCAGGTATCAAAGAGTAATGTAGCCCAACGCTGTTTCCTCCCTCCTGCAGTTCTCCTAGGTAATCCCTTAGCATGACATAGAAAACCAGAGCCCATAAATTAGCCTTGCTATATCCTTAGGCAGCTAATAGATTTTCTACAACTCTAAAGAGTGATTGCATCAATTAGGCAAAATCTGAAACTGTTTTGGGAATTCTTAAGTAGAACAACAATGTCCTAGTTACCAGAAAGGTTAGGAACCTGGGAAGCAGGTAGCCAGATCCATGGCCAAGGCATAGCCTGGTTAAGGGACCACTGCTGCCAGACACCACTGAGCTTGACAAATGGGGCAATGGAAGGTCACTGACACTAATTCTCTTTCTCCTCCCTTGTAACACTTGTCCCTCTTCACAGCCGAAGGCAAGGACATTCCACTGACCCAAATGAGGGTCATATACCTGTGCCTTGGCTGCCAGGAATAAGGAAAAGTATCGGGTTTTTTGGACTTCAACCCCCATACTCCCATAATTATGTATTTCCCACACAAGAGGGAGTTCTGATACTACACAGAAAAAAGAAAAGAATAAGAAAAAAATCAGCTCCAACCATCTCACTACTAAGCCTACAGATCTGGTAGTCTCTGAACATATTACCACTTCAGCAGATCCTTCATGTAATCAAGACAGAATCTGTGTTAAATTGCCACAAGGAGGGTTTGTAGTAACTACTTTTAGATCATGATGTTTGTTCCTCAAAAATCATTAAAGCAATTTTATTGTACATTTTTTAAAGTTTTAACCAATTCTACTTATGTAGGTTAATTTTTCAAAGGCACTACACCTAAAATACTGAATGTCAACTGTAACTAAAAAATAAAAAATAAATGTTTTAAAAACTGCAATAGACTCTACAGTTCATAAATGTATTTCCATGTACCACATCAAGACATTGTCCCAATGCTGAAAATAGGGAATGTAACTGATGTTTCTGTGATATCTCAGTTACATTTCCAGAGAACTTCCCTAAATAAAAAACACTTCATAAAACCAAAGCCATCTTTACAGTACGTGACCAAATGTTTTGAATCACAGTTTCTGTTGCCCAGCTAAAAAATGTTAAGGAATGTACATTTCATTTTGCTCAGATTCCGCTATCTGCAACCCAAACTCTGTAGTGAATAAAGCCTGAGAAATCTGGAAAAAAATGAGTAATTTATTTTTCACATGCCTGAAAAATAAACTGGCTGATTATATTTAAACTGAAGCTCATTTATATATTATAACTGTTTATCTGAATTGAAAAATATTTGTGGGTTTTCTACTTATAATTCTGGTTGTCAGCAAGCAGGTAGAAACATACTAAGATGGGGTTGGGAAAATTTCATTGAGCGTACTCAACCGAGAGCCCTAAAACAAAGTCTGAGAAAGCTGATTGATGTCAATAGTTTGGAAATGAGAAGCTGTGGAGCTTTTCTCTTGCCTACAACCTGTTCTCTTTAGGAGACTGTTCATGCTGGGTCTGATCCCAGGAGCCTCTGAGGATGCTGGTACTGAGGCAGAAGACAGCATAGGAAGAACTCTGAGACTGCAATCCTGTCACCGGCCAGCATTTAGCACCCTGGTTGCCAGTAAATGCCTTTTACCAATTAGGTAGAATAAACAGTAAACTGAGGCAGAGAGGAGGAAGGAGACAAGTCTCACATGCTAATTCAGCAGTCCTAAGCCTGGTCTGATAACATTGCCAGGTGTTCCAACATCAGAAGAAACACTATATTAGCAAGAAAGAAGGAAAGTCCTTGAAATTCTATATAGCATTTCCACTATCTGGGAAAGAAAGCCTTGAAACTGTGCTTTCATCCCAAGGCCTGAATGTGGGAGAGGGTATCTGGTGGCCAAAGAGCCCATAAAACAACTTTGGTTAATTGCCTACCTCTGGTCACTATGTTTTAGGAGGGAGTCTGTGATGCTTACAGAAAGGGCCCATAAATAACTTTGGAAAGTGCCCCAATTTTAATTAACTGCCTCCTGTCACATATTTGTTTTACAACAAGATGAACAAATGGGGCCTGGAGCAAGATAAGGATTTGGGCTAACAGACCCCCACACATACCTAAGTTTGGGTAGTCACATTCCCCCAGGAAAGCTGGCACCACATTTACCCATTAATCAATATGTCACTTTTTTCTTCGTATCCTACCAACTATATAAGTCCTGAGAACAAAGGACTCTCTCTCTCCCTTTCTCGGGGGCTCAGGGTGCTCTTGGCTCTCGGGCCACAGGGCCTCTGGCCACCCAGTCTCATGCTGCCCAAGAGCTTGCCATGCTGGTCTTCAGCTGCTCTTACTTTTTCTTCCCTGCTTTGCCCTGAAACTTTGCCTTTCACCCCCTACTCTACCCAGTCCTGTTCTCTTCCATGGGAACAGGCCACTAATAAACTGATTACATACTACTAAATTTGCTGATATGTAATTCTTTACATGCGTCAGCAAGAAGAGCCAGGTCTCTCCCATCAACAGTACTTGTGTCTTCTGGACAAACTTGCCCCACTATCTGGCAATGGACCTAACCATGGATGCATACTGACACAGTCCTTCCTGTCATGATCCTGGTTTCCTTTCTGTCTAGTCAGTGACAGGCCTGCTTCCATGTTCTCCCAGTGTAATTAAGTCTCTTTCAGCCTTATGTTCCCTCTTCTTACTCTCATTGGTACTTTTTCTGGTATATTTAGCTTTATATTCATGAGACATACGTTAACCCCCTACCATGTACAGATTATTACACATGCTGAGATACTTGTTTGTGTTAAAACTTTCTCGTGTATTTAAGGATTATTTCTACTTCTGGTCATATAGTTTGTGATAAAAGAGCTATTGGAACAGAGCTATGCTTATGATCTATCTGCTCATTCGGTACTTGCCACACACTAGAATCAAATCCTTACATTTAGTAGGTACCTGAATAACTGTACTAATAAATGAATGGATCATCAGCTAATGTAAGTCAGAAGCTATTTCCATTCTTTGCATGAAAATAGCACAAAGAAAAAATTAAGAGAGAAAATGAATATTCCAAGTCTATTCCTTTAATTAAACCTAAAGCCACTGTACTTGTCCATGACATTTAAAGTAGAAAAGGGACAAAGAACAAATAAATCTTTTCTGTTCTATATAGCAGTCCTTTATTGAATGAGGATGGAATACATCAGTCAGAGCATCAATTTGTCAATAAAATGTGTCTACTTTTGCCATGTTTTTGCTTTGGTAGATATAAAGAGACTGTACTGAAGTTGAGCTACCTCATCTTTCTTCTCATTTGTAATATCCTTCATCAGTGATATGCCTCAAAGCAATTAAATTACACCAGGAAAATCATTTCCCCCTCCTAGGCCTGAAATTCCTCATCCAAAACTTTGACAAGTGAATGACACAATCTCTCAGTTCCTCTGATTCATGTACACACATGAATTTATATATCATGATGTAGGCACAAGGTAAAGCTATACTGCCTTGGCCATGGAACTTGCTTAAAGCAAAAATGCTACGTGTACCCTCTAAGAACCAATTCTTTCTTCCTCGGCCAGAAGAATGGTAATGTCCCAAAAAGGACACCTGAACATTCAGTGCAGATGCAGACATCAATACCAACCCAATGAGACATACAGCTTTGTTGTTGTTATTATAGCACATTCTAGCAAAATCTAATGAAATACAACTTGCTAATAATTAAATGTCAATTCATAAACTTTAAAACAATTTTAATTTATAGAAAACTGGTAACATTATGATATAATGAAAAAAATTTAAAGCAACTTTTAAAAATAGAAATATGCATAGTATTCATAGTAAAAGAAATGACCTCACATAGATGTTAGCTTGTTGAATCCTTGAATGACTATTCCAAGTAAGAATCAACATTTTTTAAAAACTGTTCTTCCTCATTAAGATATTCCAAGATAATGTTTCCACCATTATATAAAGGACAATCCTCCTTAGCAATCCACATTTCCAAAGTATGATCCAAGGGTAATGCTTCTCCTGAAGTCATGTGACATAATCTTAATTTCTGTTACAAGAGAAATAAAGCGTACTGTAATAAACAAAGATGCTTATGTAGTACATCGTAAAGATTCTAGGAAAAAGTTATTATAACCAGTTGTTACCTTGCCTGTTAATTTATTATTGTTATTTTTCAGACTGGCAAAAGAAGCTGCCAAGTCAATGACCTTCCCAATGCTCCACTGGCAGCAGAAAAACATTGGTTTGCTCTTCTCTTTGCTTTCCTTGGGTAAGAAAACCTGCAAGTAAACTCTTTCTGTCTGTAAAAATAAAAAGTTAAAATACAGATTACATACATGAACTAGTTATCTGTTTTTGTCTGGTGACATGTCCTCCTCTCTTCTCCTGGTCAGAGGGATTACCCTCTAATGCAGAGCTCAGCATCCACCTGAATTCATGAGAACAGGACTCAAGACCCTGCCAGGGTAATCTGTGCAAAGACAGGTATGTGACCTAAGGTAGGCCAATTAAGGCCTTTTCCTGGGATTTTATTTTCAAAAGCTGGGGGAGGGAAGGGAGAGCTCTTTTTCCAGAGTTTTTTAGTCTTTGAATTAAACTTGGAATTGCCTACAGCAATCCCCCAGGCCTCTTAGCTATTCCTAAAACAATGTGGAAAAAAAAGTTTCCTGAAATGGGAGAGAATGAGTTTAATCCAGACAGAGAAGTCAAGGGCACAATGGACTCATTCAACTGCATTTGATTCTGGAATCTGGTCATCACTAGA